AAGAGAGAAGAAGAAGAAGATAATGATGATGATGATGAAGAAAATAGGATAGAAGGAAATGCACACTTAGTACTCATAACTGTGAATGTGAATGGAATAGACTGACCCATAAAATGGAAGCAAAAAGCACAATGAATTAGAAACCTGAATCCAACTGTAGGTTATTTACAATAAACTTACTTGAAACAGAAAGACACATACAAAATTAATATAAGGAGTTGTAGCAGAATTCATTATGCTTTAGCTGAAGCAAAAAAAGACAAGTTACCACTCATGATTTCAGACTAAAAAAAGCAAAAAGAGACCAAATTAAAAGACATAATCAAGAAAACTACATTTTGCTAAAAGATACCATAGACAATGAAGTAATATAAATACAAAACATACATCCACCAAATGGCATAGCATCCAAGTTCTTGAAGGAAAAGGTAAGAGTTATAGGAGGAAGTAGAGAGTAAAATATAGTAGTGGGAAACCTCAACTTTCCCCTCTTAGAACTAGATAAATCAGAGTGAATATAAATAGTAATTGTTTCTCTTTTGGCCAGAAGACAGAGGGTCTTCCCCTCCCAGTTTGATTTTTTTTTTATTAAAGGGACTGTCCCTTGGCTCACTTTTTAAACAGCCCTAATCACTAAATGGGTGTTGCCTCAGTCAAAGTGAGAACTCAGAAAGACTTTAGCTTAAAAAGGCTGAGGTCTCCCACTGTATCCTGAACCATCTCCAGTTATTCTGATCTATATCTGGTCACTGGACCCAGTTGGCTCCGAAGGAGAACGTGAGGCTGGTGATTTTGCACCAGGTGGTACAAAGGGAGAGGAGGGAGAGTCCTTCCTCACTTAAAGCCAATTCACCAGCAGGTCATGGTATTATCTTCCTGATGTCATGGTTCTCTTTGAGAACAAAAGACAAACCACGCAAATAAGAAGGAAGTTAAGGAGATTAATAGAATTTTAGAAAAGATAGATATGATGGATCTCTCAATAATGTTGAGTGGGAATAAAAAGGAGTGTACATTTTTCTCAGTTGTTCATAGCACCTCCACAAAAGTTGACTGTGTATTAAGGCATAAAAGCCTCACAAATAAATGCTGAAAAGCAAAAATATATATGCACACTTTGCAGATCGCAATGCAATAAAAATTACATTGAATGAAGGACTTTAGAAGCATAGATTAGAACATAAAGTTCTTGAGGGTAGAGTCATTTTCACTTAACAAAGACACATTTAAACAATAGGAAAATTATTAACTGCTCATGGGTAGGCTGAAGAAATATAACAAAAATTATAATTCTACCCAAATCGATTTACTTATTCAAAAACATACCACTCAAACTACCAAAAAATAATTTTATAGATCCAGAAAAAATAATAACAAAATTCATCTGGAAGAACAAAAGGTCAAGAATATAAAAAGAATCAGTGGTAAAAAAATGTGAAGGAAGGCAGCTTAGCAGTACTAGATCTCAAAATATATTTACAAAGCAGTAATCATCGAAACAATCTTGTACTGGCTAAAAAAATAGAGTAGTTAATCAGTGGAACATATTAGGTACATAATATACACAGGTAAATGAACAAAGATCCAAGTTTTGGGAGCCAGAATTCACTATTTGACAAAAACTGCCAGGAAAACTGGAAAACAGTCTGGCAGAAACTAGGCATAGAAAACCATCTCACTCCATACATGAGTCATACATGAGGTCAAATTTGACACATGATTTAAATATAAAGAGGGATATCACAAGCAAAGAAGGAGAGAGTGGAAAAAATTAACTGTCAGATCTATGAATAAGGAAATTGAGGAAAGAGTTTATGACCAAACAAGTGATAGAGAGGATCATGGGAGGTAAAATGGATCATTGCAACTGTAAGAAGTTAACAGATTTTAGCAAAACAAAATAAATTCATCCAAAATTAGGATGAAATTATAGGAAACATAAAAAAATTTTACAGCAAGCTTATTGGATAAAGGTCTTATTCCTCAAATATGGAGTGAATTGAGATAAATTTATAAAAATAGGAGCCATTCCCCAATTGATAAATAATCAAAGATATGAATAGGCCTTTTTCAGAAGGAGATATCAAAGCTATCAATACTAATATTAAAAACGCTCTAAATCACCAATAATTATAGACATACACAGCAAAACAACTCTGAGATATTGTTTCATAGCAATCAGATTGACTAACATGATAAAAAATGAAAATGACAAATTCTGAAGGGAATGTGGAAAAGATATGTCCACCAATGTACCGCTGGGATTGTGAACTGGACCAAATATTCTGGAGAACAGTTTGGAGCTAAACCCAAAGGACTTTAAACTGTGTATACTTTTTGTGTTGTTTTTTTTTGGGGTGTTTTTTTAGTCAATTGGAGTTAAGTGACTTGCCCAGGGTCACACAGCTAGTAAGTGTCAAGTGTTTGGTCTGAGGCTGGATTTGAACGCAGGTCCTCCTGACTTCAGGGCTGGTGCTCTATTCACTGCACCTCCTAGCTGCCCCAAACTGTGTATACTTTTTGACCCAAAAATATCACTACCAGGACTGCATCCCAAAGAGATCAAGAAAAAAGAAAAGAATCTTTATGTACAAAAATACCGATAGCAGCCCTTTTTGTGGTGGCAAAAAAAATGGGTATATGATTGTGATGGAATACTATTGTACTCTAAGAAATGATAAAAAAAAGATAGTTTAAAAAAACACCTGGAAAGACATATATGAACTGATGCATAATAATAAAGTGAGCAGAACCAGGAAATTGCTGTATACAGTAAGTTATATTATGATGATAATTAACTGTTAAAGACTCAATTATTCTGATTAATACAATGATCCACAACTCCGAAAGACTCATGATGAAAAATATTAACCCACCTCCAGAGAGGAAATGGATAAATTCTGAGTGGTAATTGAGGCAGACTTTTTTGCAACTTATTCCACTTGATTTTTTTGCAACATGGAAAAATAGAAATATGTTTTGCATGATATTACATGTATAATGGGTATCATACTGCTTATCTTTTCAATTGGGGGGGCTGGAGGAAGAGATTTGGAATTCAAAATAAAAATAAATGTTAATAAAATCAAATGATAAAAAAGAGAAAAATACAACTTAACCATTAGAAAAGGGGGGGGGAAGAATTGTCTAGCTTAAAAGTCAGTGAGTCTCCCAGAACTTGCAATCCATTGGCACAGCGTCAAGACTTCAGAGTGACCACCACATCACAGAGAAGCATTGAAGACTTTAGTACCATACAAATATATTTTAAATTATCCACATTTAGAGATGAATCAGGTTGTTTCACATCTTAAATTCTCTAAAAAGTGGTTTGTTAATCTCAAGTTAAAGTCTAATGTGAATTTTTTATTAATTTCTTAATCAGATTCTAAATATTTTTATGAAGATGTCATGACATTCATAACTCATGTAACATCCACATCAAGTGGGGAAAAGATTCCATAGAAACAAGGGAAGGAGAATCCTATCACCAGCCTCCAGATTAAAGTATGCCCTTATTGAGCATATTCTTTAGAATGCTGGTCTTTGTTCTCTGTTACCCACTAGAACAGTTGCCCCTGCCAGCTAACCAAGAAAGACAAGAACATTGCCACATAGTATAATCCCATTAAATTATTTACTTAGTTAATAGTTACAATGTATATAGTATAATTACATTATATATAATATTTACATTTAAAATATAGTATACTATAGTAAATATTATATTAAGATGCTAGCTATATATGGAAGGCAGCATAATTAATGGAAAGTGTCATAATTAGTTTCAAATTCTGGCTCTACCATTGGCTAGTTGGCTATGTGACATTAAATAAATCTATTAAACACTTTGAGATTCATTTCTTTATCCCTCTTCACAGCTGTCAAAAAGATTGGTCCTAAATTTCCACTGTCTCAATTACTTTTGACTTTTCCCTGTCCAATGGCTACTTCTTGCTACCTACAAGTATTTCTATGCCTCACCCTTACTTGATCCAACCACCCTCACTATATCAGACATCTCTTCTATATCTCTTTTTGTAATTAAATTCTTATAAATTCTGTTCCCATTTCTTCCCACTTTCTTCTTAACTCTCTCAGTCTGGTTTTTGACCTCATCATCAAACTAAAGCTATTCCCTCCATTAGTCAGTTGACAAGTTCATCTTCATTACCAAATCCAATGGCTTTTTCCCTCAGTCCTCATCCTTCTTAACTTCTTCAAAGCCTCTGATGCTGTTAAGCATCTTCTCCTCCTTGATATTTCTTCCTCTCTGAGATTTCATGACACTGCTCTCTCTTGGCTCTACTCCTGGCTGTCTGACTGCTCCTTCCTGTTCTCCACTGCCAGAATATCGTTCAAATAATGACCACCAATTGTGAGTGTCTCCCAGAGGTTTGGTCTTGGCCTTCTTCTCTTCTCCCTCTATGTTATCTAGCTTGGTGATCCCTTCATCCCATATGAGTTCAATAATTATCTCTAAACAGATGATTCCCATGTCTATTTATCCAGCTTCCAATTACCTCAGGGTCAAATATAAAATCCTTTGTTTGACATTTAAAGTTCTTGACAACCTGTCCCCTTACTACAGTTACAGTCTTCTTTTTCTTTATTCCACACACACCCTCTAACTCCTGACTCTGCTCCTTTTCACTGGCTATCCCCCAAGCCTGAAATGCTCACCCTTCTTATCTCAGCCTTCTGGCCTATAACTGGCCTTTCCCCCTTTCTAATACCTTCTAACAGAATCTTCCATTTACATTGTATATACCTTTTTATGTAAATAGTTGTTTGCATGTTGTCTTTCCCATTAGAATGTGAACTCTGTGAGGACAGGTGCCATACTTTTTAAATTTTCTTTGTATTGCTAGTGTTTGGTACAAAAAAGTGCTTAATAAAGCTTGTTTACCCACTAATGATTGAAAAGAGACACCTCCCCTCCTGCTTCTAGTTCTGAACTCTCTTATATGAAAAGGGAAAAAAAAGCAAGGAAACCATACCTGGCAAAATTCTGTCCCTCATTACTATAATATTGTCCTCTCGATCTGAACGGGACTGTTCATGCCAGAACCCCAGGGCATGTAGGAGCTCATGTTGAACTAAAGCTATTCTGTCACAGTGGGATCCTATGGAAAGTGGCTGCTGGCCAGCATCATTATTGCCTACTAAAGAAAAGCGCCTAAAAAACAAGACATAAAGTGGTAAGATTACTAATGTGGGAACCCAGGTGTGCTCTCCAGATCTCTAAGCTTCAATTCAATCATTACTTTCAAATTACTTCCCACCTCAACCTTTTGCCAGGCAGAATTGATCAATTCCAGCTTTACCTCATCTCCCTGCTCCTGCTCCTGCACTACGGAAGGGACTGACAAACAACAAAGTTGGTGAAAGGAAGATGGGTAGAAAGAAACAGAAGCAATTAAGAGCCCCAATAATCCACAATCTGGATTATTAACAGTAAAATAATTGAGAGAAGAGATACAGAGGAAGAAATTCAATTAGTGAAAGTTTTCTGAATGCAAATGCTCATGGCAGAATGTGATTGTGCCACAGCTGGCACCTATGGAAAAAGTCTCTTTGTCAATATGTCTATTTCTTATTGAAGAATAGCACCAAAAACAAAACAAAACAAAACAAGGCGCAAAGAGGTAAATGACTGACATTGTGGTATTGGGTGATGACTGGCATTAAATTCAAAGGCTATACCACTTCTGGAGATGATGCTAAAAGGCATGATTATTTGGCGTGGTTAAACAATAACCATTTGTCTGCAAATAGATATTCACAGATGCATTAGCAACTATAACCATTAAGAGGAAGAGAGCAGAGTTCCCACAAGAAAGCCCAAGAATGGTAGAAAATCTATAGTATAGATCTGGGAAGTAAATTGCAGTGATAAGTGTGGGTCTTGTAGCATTCTGACTGGATCAAGCAAGTGCCCAGGTTCCAAAATTTCTAGCACTCTGTCCTGAGATACCAAAGAAGACCATGAAGATCCAGGGTTCTGAACCTCAAAGATAAATGAAAACCTAAAACCTACTATCTATAGTGTGTGTGTGCATTAAAATAGACACACTACCTGGACATGGAGATCAGGACAAGAACCCAGGTGAAAGAGATTGATATCAACCAGGGTGGACTATCCCAACTAAAAACAGAGCAGGAGGCAGGGGTATGGCTCTGGCCCTGGCCAGTTCAGGAACTAAGGCTAGGAAGATGAGTAAATAGAAGAAGACATAGACTACCAAAAAAAGTATTATAGATCCAGAGGTACCCCCAAATCCACACTACAAGAAGAGAGTATCTCCATAACAACTGCATGCGGGGATTCAAAGGTAAAGTGCATTTTCCACAATGACCACATGAACACATAAAAGAAATGAAGAAAGAGATTAAAGATGAAATGAAAGTTCTAGAGGAATGAAGTAGAACAATAATAAATACCCTAAAAGAAAAAGTAGTAAACTGTTTATGTGTATACATAAAGACTCCTTAAAAACTAGAATACACGAAATATATCAGTGACTCCAGGAAGCAGCAAGAAGTAGCAGAGCAAAATCAAAAGATGATTAAAAATAGAAAGAAAATTAAAATTTCTTATAAAAAGGTTGACCTGGAAAAAAGGTCAAAGAGAATAATTTTTTAAAGCCTGGACACTGTATTTCAAGAAATCATAGTAGGGGGCAGTTAGGTGGTGCAGTAGATACAGCACTGGCCCTAGAGTCAGGAGGACTTGAGTTCAAATCCGGCCTCAGACACTTAACACTAGCTGTGTGACCCTGAGCAAGTCACTTAATCCCAATTGCCTTGCCAAAAAAATAAAGAAAAAGAAAGAAAACTGCCCAGTTCACCTACTAACAAAAGGTGTAGAGACATAGTTTGACATAGATATATTGTGAATTTGTTTTGATTAATTGTTTATTTGTTGGAAGGGTTGGTTTTCTTTTTCTCTTTTTAATGGTTAGGGGAGGAAAGAAGATCATTAACAATGATGATGCCAAGGCAAAAAAAGAAAAGAAGAAAAGAAAAAAGAGAAGGACCATTGAAACATTTTTTAAAATGCAGAGAGATGAACAGGAGAATATACAGAAGGAAGCACAGACAAACAGGAAAGTTTCGGATGTAAGGCATTGAATTTAATATATACTTTTTAGAAAGGCAAGCAGCATGAAATATAAATTAATGGTTCCATATAAAATCCCATTTTGTGTTCTGCTTTATAAACTGAAATGCTCAATTTGTTTTGTTTTGTTTTTTCGTTAAGTTCAGAATACAAGGCTACAAATAGAAGGAGAGACAAGATGGCAGAGAGAAGTCAGAAAGTTGCCCAAGATCTCCCCAGGTTCCCTCAGAAACAATGTTAAATCAAGCCTCTAAAAGAATTCTGGAGTGATAGAATCCACAAAAAGATGGAGTGAAACAATTTTCTAGTCCAAGATAACTTAGAAAGACTTCAGGAAAGGTCTGCTTCACTAGGGTAAAAAGGGAGTGGAGCCCAGCACAGGTGGCATACAGGCAAACCAGCAGGAGGTTCTTAACCACAACACAAATCAGCACCTGAAGCCCTGTGGTCCTAGCTCAGCAGACTAGTGGTACAGTAGGCCAGCTGTGAGACCTCTAGCCCCAGCACAGCAGGCAAATTGCCAGCCCTGGGAACCCAGGATACAACAGGTGTAATTAAGCCAGGCCACCATGGCACTGTGAGCAAGCTGCCAGCCCCAGAGGCCCTAGGACAGAAAGCTAGTGCTGAGGCCCCTGGCCCCAGTGCAAGAAGTGTGGGGCAGTGCCCCCTGTATCCCAGGAGCAGAGCTCAACTTTTAAAAATGAGTAAAAAAAAGAACCCTGACCATAGAGAGTTACTGTGGTGACAGGAAAGATCTAAAAACAAACTCAGAAGATGACAGCAATGTCAAAATGCCTACATGTGAAGCCTCAAAGGGGAATATGAATTGGTCTCAAGTCCAAAAATCCACTTGGAAGAACTCAGATAGGATTTTAAAATTCAGGTAAGAGAGACAGAAGAAAAATTGTAAAAGAAATGAGAGTTATGCAAGAGAATTATGAAAAAAGAGCCAACAGCTTGGAAAAGAAAGAACAAAAATTGACTGAAGAAAACAACTTTTAAAAATAGTATTGGCCAAATGGGGGGAAAATCCACTGAAGGAAAACAGTTCCTTTAAAAATACAATTGGCCAAATGGAAAAGGAAGTACAAAAGCTAACCAAAGAAAAATAATTACTTAAAAATTAGAATCAGACAAGTAGAAGCTAATGACTCTATGAGACATCAAGAATCAGTCAAACAAAATCAAAAGAATGAAAAAATAGAAGGAAATGTAAAGGACCTCATTGGAAAAACAACTGACCTGAAAAATTGATCCAGGAGAGATAATTTAAGAATTATTGGATTACCTGAATGCCACAATCAAAAAAAGAGCCTGGACAGCATCTTTCAAGAAATTATCAAGGAAAACTGCCATGATATCATAGAACCAGGGAATAAAATTGTCATTGAAAGAATCCACTGAACATTTCCTGAAAGAGATCCCAAAATGAAAACTCCAAGGAATATGGTAACCAAATTGCAGAGCTATCAGGTCAAGAAAGTACTGCAAGAAGCCAGGAAGAAAAAATTCAAATATCAAGGAGCCACAGTCAGGCTTACACAGGACTTAGCATCTCCTATATTAAAAGATCAGAGGGTTTGTAATATGAAGTTCTGGAAGTCAAAGGAGTTTGGATTACAACAAAAAATCAACTGCTCAGGAAAAAAACTGAGCATAATCTTCCAGGGCAAAAAATAGACATTCAATGAAATATGGGACTTTCAAATTTTCCTGATGGAAAAATCAGAACTGGACAGAAAATTTGATCTTCAAATACAAGAATCAAGAGAAGCATAAAAAGTTAAACCAAGAAAGGGTTAGGGTTAGGGTTAGGGTTAGGGTTAGGGTTAACTTTTTAATGGTATTTAATAAGCTTAAACTGTTTACATCCCAACTTGGGAAGATGATACTTGTAACTCTTAAGAACTGTATCTTTACTAGGGCAGTTAGAGTATATATGTATTATACACATATATATATAATATATATATATATAGGCAGTATAGTTAGACAGAAGGTATAGATAAAAGTTGACATTGATGTGATGATAAAAAAATTTAGTAAGGGGTTAAAAAAGTATTGTACTGGAAGAAAAAGAAAGGTGGAGGCAGAGTGGGGTAAATTACATCACATGAAGAGGCATAAAAGACCTATTACACTAGAGGGAAAGAAGGGAGGGGTGAGCACTGTTTGAACCTTATTCTCATTGGATTTATATCAAAGAGAGAATAACAAGCACATTCAGTTGGGTAAAGAAATCTATCTTACCCTATAGAAAAGTAGGAGGGGAAGAGAAAAGAAAGGGGGGAGTGATAGAAGGGAGGGCAGATTGAGGGAGGTGGTGGTTAGAAGCAATGTACTGGTGAGGAGGGACAGGTGAAAGGAGGAAGGGAGAAGGTAATGGGGGGAGAGAGAGAGAGGGAGAGAGAAAGAGAGGGAGGGAGGGAAGGAAGGAGGGAGAGAGGAAAAGAGGGAGGGAGGAAGGAAAGGAGGAAGAGAGAAAGCATAAACAAGAGAAAATAGGATGGAGGGAAATACAGTTATTAATCACAATTGTGAATGTGAATGGTATGAATTCTCCCATGAAACAGAAATGGATAGCACAGTAGATTAAAAACCAGAATCCTATAATACGTTGTTTACAAGAAACACATTTGAAGCAGAAACACACATACACAGAGTAAAGGTAAAAGGCTGGAGCACAATATATTACATTTCAGCTGAAGTAAAAAAAAGTCAGATAGTAATCCTGATCTCAGACAAAGCAAAAGCAAAAATTGATCTAATTAAAAGAGATGAAGTAGGAAACTACATCTTGCTAAAAAGGTACCATAGATAATGAAGTAGTATCAACACTAAACATATAAGCACAAAGTTGTATAGCATCCAAATTCTTAGAGAACAAGTTAAGTGAGTTACAGGAAAAAATAGACAGCAAAACTATACTAGTGGGTGACCTCAACCTCCCCCTCTCAGAACTGGATTAATCTAACCACAAAATAAACAAGAAAGAAGTTTAAAATTTAGAATTTTAAATTTTAGAATTTTAAAAGAGTTAGATAATAGACCTCTGGAGAAAATTGAGTGGGGATAGAAAGGACTATACTTTTTTCTCAGTGGTGCATGGCACCTATGCAAAAATTGACCATGTATTAGGGCATATAAACCTCACATTCAAATGCAAAAAGGCAGAAATATTAAATGCATCATTTTCAGATCAGATGCAATAAAAATTACAATTTGTAAAGAGCCATGGAAGGATAGATTGAAAATTAATTGGAAAGTAAATAATCTAATCCTAAAGAATGAGTGGGTCAAACAACAAACCATAGAAACAGCCAATAATTTCATCAAAAAGAGTGACAATAATGACACAGCATACCAAAATTTATGGGATGCAGCCAAAACATTGCTTAAGGGAAATTTTATATCTCTAAATGCTTACATGAATAGAGAAAAAACAGATGGATGAATTGTGCATGCAATTTAAAAAAACTAGGAAAAGAACAAATTAAAATCCCTAATGAAATACCAAATTAGAGATTCTCAAAATTGAAAGAGATTAATAAAATTGAAAGTAAGAAAACTATGGAACTAATAAATAAAATTAAGAACTGTTTTTTTAAAAAGAAACCAATAAAATAGATAAACCTTTGGTTAATTTGATTTAAAAAAGAAAGATGAAAACCAAATTACCAGTATCAAAAATGAAAAAGGTGAATTCTCCACCAATGAAAAGGAAATTAAAGCTATAATTAGGAGCTATTTTGCCCAACTCTATTTTAATAAATCTTACAATCTATGTGAAATGGATGAATATTTACAAAAATATAAGTTGCTCAGATTAACAGAAGAGAAAATAGAATATGTTAATAACCCCATTCTAGAAAAAGAAATTGAACATACTATCAATGAATTCCCTAAGAAAAATCCCCTGGGGTAAATTAGGCAAGAAAAAGCTTTTACACTGGAGGGGAAGAGGGGGGAGGTGAGAGGGAATGAGTGAATCTGCTCTCATCAGATTTGACTTAAGGAGGGAATAACATACACATTCAATTGGGTATGGAAATCTATCTTATCCTACAGGAAAATAGGGGGGAAGGGGATTAAAAAGGGGGTAATAGTAGAAGGGAGGGCAGATTGGGGGAGGTGTAATCAGAACCAAACTCTTTTGAGAATGGGCAGGGTCAAAGGAGAGCATAGAATAAATGGGGGGTGGGATAGGATGAAGGGAAATATAGTTAGTTTTTCACAACATGACTATTATGGAAGTGTTTAGCATGACTATACATGTATAACCTATATTGAATTGCTTGCCTTCTCAATGAGGGTGGGTGAGAAGGGAGGAAGGGAGAGAATTTGGAACTCAAAGTTTTAAAAATGAATGTTAAAAATTGATTTTACATGCAACTGGGAAATAAAATATACAGGTAATGGGGTATAGAAATCTATCCTGCCCTGTAGGAAAATAGAAGGGGAAGGGGTTAAGAGAAGGGGACAGGTAATAGAAGGGAAGGCAGATTGGGGAAAAAGGGGTATTCAAAATGCATGCTGTCTTGGAGTAGGAGGAGGGGAGAGAAGGGGAGAAAATTTGGAACTCAAAATCTCGTGGAAGTGAATGTTGAAAACTCATAATAATTAATTAATTTAAAAAAAGAAATATTAAAAAATGGGGGGAAAAATCCCCTGGTCCAAATGGATTTACAAATGAATTCTACTGAACATTTAAAGAATTATTCATTCCAATACTACATGAACTATTTGGAAAAATACGCAAAGAAGGAATCCTACCAAACTCCTTTTATGACACAAATATGGTGCTGATGCCTAAAACAGAGAAAGAAAAGTACAGACCAATTCCCTAATGAATGCAAAAATTTTAAATAAAGTACTAGCAAAGAGATTATAGCAATTTATCACCAGGATAACACACTATGACCAGGTGGGATTTATACCAGGAATGCAGAGCTGGTTCAATATTAGCCTGGAGAAGAAAAGACTCATGGGAGATACACTAGCTCTGCTCAAGGATTTTAATGGGTGTTGTGTAGAAGAAAAAGTACCCCAGTGTTGAACTGGAAGCAATGAGAAGATACAAAGAAGCAAATTTAAGTTTCGTGTCAGGAAAATCTTCCTAAGAACTAGAGCTGTCCAAAAGTGAAAAGAGCTGCCTAATCTCCTGAGATGGTGGGTTGCCCCTCATCGAAAGTCTTTAAGAAGAGGCTGCATGACTATTTGGCAAGTGTGTGATCATGGGATTTCCTTTGGGCTATGGATTGGACTAGGAGGCTGTAGAGGTCCCTTTCAACTCTCAAGTTCTATAATTCTGTGATTCATTTTCTGAGTCCCAAATACGTATCATGCCCATAGTGCCTACCCAACACAAGTGATACAGAGGGACAAATGAAGCAGTCCTTGCCTGAAAGGAGCTTATATTCTAAGAAAGAATATGTACGAATACAAGAAATATATGCAAAGTAATGGAAGGAGGGTAACACTAGCAACTGAAGGAATCAGGAAATACTTCACAAAGAACATGGTCTAGAGCTGAACTTTGAAGGAAGTTATGGATTTTAAGAAGCAGATGTGAAGAAAGAAGGCATTCCAAAAACTGGAGAGTGCCTATACGAAGACAAGGAGACAGAACATGGAATGCTTTACAGAAGGAAGAGCAATGAGGCCAGTTTGACAGGAATATTATATGCTTCAATTGGGATAATACGCAATAAACCTGGAAAGATAGATAGGAATGTTGAGAAGTAGAATATTATATACATCACCAGATGTTTTTGGTTTTTTTTTCTTTTTTGCAAGGGAAGGTTCAATATGGTGAGGCAGTGAAATGATTGTGATGTGAAAAGAAAATGGATCAAGAAATTGCATTTGAGAAAGAAAAAAAGGGAGGAGGTAGGGAGAGAGAAAAGAAGAAAGAAGAGAGAAAATGGAGGAAGGATGGCAGGAAGGAAGGAAGAAAAAATAGGAAGGAAGAAAGAAAGGAAAGAAAGAAGAAAGGAAGGAGGAGGGAGGGAATGAAGGAGGGAGGAAGGAAGGAAGGAGGGAGGAAGAGATAGAAAATACTCCTCCTTTCCTTGTTGACATTATAGGTGTTTGGAGCTATAAATATTGGACATATGTATATAAAAATTCTCAGATCTTTTTTTTTTAATTAAAGTTCTTCTACTGCCTCTTCCCTTTCTTCCTGAGCCACTTTCAATGCACAAGCCATACATCTGAACCACACAAAGATCATGGCCTGAGGTTAATTGCTTTGATTTACAACATGCTAGAGGCCTTCTGTTTTCAGGAAATTCTTAGAATGTTATAACTTTGTCTTACCCACGTCCTTTGTACACTGAAATATAATTCTCTTCTCCTTCCCGTGGTTTAAAGTCGATGCAGGATTTTAGGTGGTACTGTTCAAATGTCTGCAGAACAACTCCTTTAGCATTAATTTCTGAAGAAAAAGAGGAAACAAAAACAGTGCCTATTAACCACCAATCAGATTCTGGTTTTAGAGCTAGACTTTCCCCCCTGACCTAAAACCTGTCTCTCAAAGGCCACCAAATGGCCAAATCCAAAGGTCCTTTGTCAGGTCTTACCTTTCTTGGACTCTCTGCAGTTTTGACACTAGAGATGGCTCCCCTTTCTTCACACTTTCTCTTCCCTTTGTTTCAGAGATACCAAGTCTTCCTAGTTTTCCTACCTCTTTAACTTCTGGTCTGTCTTCTTTGCTTGTTCCTTACCCTCATCCTAATCTTTTAACATGGGTATTCCTCAAGGGTCTGTCCTCAGGCCTTTTCTCTTTCTCTCCTTTGGCAAGATTCATTCACTTACATGACTTCAATTTCCACCTCGGTGCAGGTGGGTCCTAAACATCCTCCTCATCATGAGAACTAGCATCTAAATTGTGCTTGCTATGTACCAAGCACTGTTCTAAGCATTTTCACTATTATTTCATCTGATCCCTAATTGCAACTGATGAAAATGAAGAAAAAGAAATGAAGTGACTTGCCTAAGGTCATACAACATATATCTGAGGCTAGATTTGGACTCAGGGTCTTCCTTACTCCAGGCCTATCTCTCTAGCCACTGAGCCACCTAATTGTATTAAAGATGTCTTTAGCCTAAACCACTCCTCTTAGCTAAAGACTCATATCTCTGTCTATAGGACCTCTCTACTTGAAAGTTTTGCCTGTCCCTCAGACTAAACCCATACAAAAATGAGCTTGTCATCTTCCCTCTGAATCTGTTCCTCCTTCTTTGATTGGTCTTTCTTTCAGGGGCATTATCATTTACCTTTTTGCCCATTTTGTAACCTGGAGGTTATCCTTGACTCTTCCTATTCCTCCACCTCTCAACCCTAATCACTCTCAAAGCCACTGGTCAATAGTGTCTAGAGAGCTGGCCTCAGAGTCCTCCACTCCCACCTCTGATATGTACTGACTGAGGGATTCTGAAGAAATCATGTAGCCTCTCAGTGGTCTAATCACCTCTTCAAGACAATAAATTGCAAAGAAAGTGCCAACCTGCATTGACAGAGAGAGTTTCATCATCTAGAGGTTCTCTATACCAGTGAAATAATACTTCTAGTCCTTCTATCTATCCCTATGCTTTCAATTCCACTTCCAAAACATACCGTAAATCTTTCCTCTGCTCTTTGGCCACTATTACCTCACTAGAAAGGAAAGAAAGAAGCATTTATTAGGTGCCTGATGTGTGCCAGGCAATATGCTAATTACTTTACAAATATTATTTCATTTGATCCTCACAACAACCCTGGGAGACAGGAGCTATTATTATCCCTATTTTACAGATGAGTATTATGTTTACTTTTTAGAATTTTATTAAGCTCAGTTTGCCACAGTTGCTTCATCTACAAAACTGAAGATGATGATAGAACCTATCTCCTGGGGTTGTTAGGAGAGTGAAACGAATGACTATTTGTAAAGCCCTTGGCAAACCATAAAGCACTATCAATTCTAGCTATCATATTATTATTAAAACTAAGAGTTATCCAGGTGACTGGCCTGAATGACTAAAGATATGCTGAGAAAGAGAACAACTGAATACTAGAGGCTTTCAAAGGTAAATTCTCATCTCCAGTCTGCAGAAAAGGCCTAGTCAAATGCCTTTTCATGGCATGGAAGTGACCCTGAGCTTTTGAAAGAGGGAACAATGGAACACTATGAACAATGGAAGAAAGATCTGGCTTGTTCAAACAAGCAAGAAAAGTTTATAAAACAGTCCTGGAAACAAAATATATTTTTCTATGGACCAGACTGAATATAAAGGGGCTTGAACTCAACAAGCTAGTAACTAGACACGGCACCTCATAAACAAAGAAAAACACAAAACGGCTCTTTGTCCTAAGCCAGCACCTTCACTTTCTCCATTGTTGGTGATGCAAGGGCAAAAAAGAAGGCAGAAGCTAAAAATAATCACAGCTTTGAGTTAAACTACAAGCTATTTAGCTCTCGGCGGTCTAAATAGGAGACTTTGTCTGATGACCGGTGAGTAGATAGATTACTAGAAGAACTAAATATCACTATGAATCAAACTAGAAAATATTAAGAAGGCACAGCTAAATGAAAGGGCTGCTCACAGATTCTCCTTAAAGTGTTCAGAAGCTGGCTAGCGACAGTGATCTCTTTGCTGAGCAGAAAGACTTGGTAAACAAGGGTAGCACCATTTTAGAATATAAGTTCATTTACAAAACCTTACGGAACCAAATAGCACAAAATTAAAAGCACAGTAAAAAGCAATGGAAGGGAAAACAAGTCCAAAGAACGTCTGATGTGAGACTCAACTAAACTCCAAGTTTAATTAGGAAGCAGGACAACAAATAGATGTTACAGGGTACAAATTTGACAGTATTTCTATAGTATTGCACTATCTTCATCAATAATGGTGGAACCACAATATTTGGACCCTAACATCTCAGTACTCAATGGGGCATATGAGGAATAGTAATTAAGAAAATGAAGTCACAAAGAGCAGCTAGGCCAGACTAAACATATACAGAAGAAATTCATGCTGAAGACAATGCCATTTAAAAAGCACTGAGGGACTGATTTTCAATGCCCCTCAGATGAGAGAAAACACAAAAAGAAAAAGAAAAAAATATTCACAGTATAATTACCTTCCCCAAAAGGCAATCAAGAAGATATTAATAACTACTGAACCACATATTTACTTTCTAAACTTTATTAAATCTTTATGAAAATATGCTAAGCTCCTTGATGGTATTCTTGTTGGAAATATGAAATGGGAACTGGCAATCTTTCATAGATCATTTTCTATGGCAGAACATACCTCCACAGTCTTATAATAGATGGAAAGGTATAGAGATTACAAAATATTGCTTTGTTTATTAATTAACAAAAAATACTCTACCAATACTTGGTAATGCAAAGCACAACCTTATAAGTTCTCTTCTAATAAAGTATCTCCCATTCAAATATTAAGATAATACAAAATCCTATGATCAGTGCAATGAGATCCATGGCTATTGCAAAAATATAAATGATCAAATCTACACAAGAAAATTCAAGTAAAAAATAATTATGTATTACTCAGATTATGACATGGAGTTGAGCTGGCAGCCCACTAAAAAAGGGACAGAGCTGTGCTTAGAACTGAAGAAAGATAACAGACCAGATTGGGTTTAGAAGATAATACAGCACTATCAATTATCCTAACTTCATTGACATTACAATGATTATTTTAGTGCCACATTTTTGAATTACATTTTGATGCGATATGACTGCTAATCATGGAGTATCATGGTCTCCAAAGAATAAAAATTGTTGGTGACACAAATTTCAATGGAGAGATAAAGAGTATATGTGGGCTGCAATAGATTACCAATAGTGACTTATGGACAAGATTTTACTTAAGATATATCATCCAAAACAAAAAAAGAGAAGATTGGTTAGGTGGCAAAAGGAGAGATAACAGATGGATATCCCAAAGGTTGCACTTGCATCCATACAATGTCAAGAGACCTAGAGGAAAGCATCTAGTTTCCAGAGGGTAGCTCCTCTATGTAATACTAAGGGGTGGCAATGGACAAGAACCCCACAAAATAGGAGGATGTAGATAGATTTGTACTCACATCAGTGAGCTCATGAAATCCTAATTGTGATACTTCAATCAATAACAGTATAGAATTATCATGCCTGGATTGATCAACCCTCAACAAAAATTTCCCAGCCAAATAAATAATTTATTCCATGGCTTTCTGTTAATTTCTCTAATTTCTGCCACTTGTGTAGTATACAAATAAACACACTTTAAAACATAAATTCCAAAAAATACAGCTTTCTATTTTTTAAAGAGCTAGCATCTTAATACATTCAGGGGGAGAAATTAGCTACATAGCAACAATTATTTATTAAGCTCCTGTTGTATGCAACATACTCTTTGAGGGTCAAGGAAATATAAAATTTGGATAAGCCATGGTCTCTGCCCTCATGAAGCTTGCAATCCTATACAAGGTTATGAAATATAAACTTACTTCAAAACTTTGGAAACTTCCACGTTCTGTTAGTTTGTCCATGAGGTCATACCCATCATAGACTTGGGTCACAACCCCTTTATAGCCTAGTTTGTGGTCTTCACTGCTGCTAACTTCATCACTTTGAAGGTAATCTGATAGAGAACTTTTCTAAAATTTGCCAGGCTGGTCTTTACATGACAGAAAGTCTGTTACTATCCTCAAATAGGAAACCTTTCCAACTTGATAGGATCTGCCATTGCTTGTGTAACACTAATATAACCTTTGAAAAACTAGGGTCACCTCTGCACCACAAAGAGGAATTAGAGAAAGTATTTACTGAAGGGAAAATACAAAGGAGTGTAGAAGCACTTAAGAGAGGTACGAATGGCTCTGTGAACATCCATCTCACTTCCATCCATCTCACTGATCTAGGGCTGGAAGGGTCCTTAGTGATCATGTTCTCCAGTCCTTCTATTTGACACCTAAAAAACTGAGAGCCAGAAAGGTGAAGTGACTGACCAGTAAATTGGCTGATAGATGGTGTAGTGGAAAGAGTGATGGGCCTGGATTCAGAAAGACCTGAGTTTAAATCCAGTCACATATCTAGCTAGATAACCCTGGGCAAGATATTTAATTTCTATCTGCCACACTTTCCCCACCTGCAAGATGGGGATTATAATTGCAACTACCTCCAAGGGCTATTGTAAGGATCAAATAAAATAATATTTGTAAATCCGTTCAGAAACTTTAAAGTGCAACTAACTACTACTGTTATTATTATTATTATTGCTCAAGGTCATACAAGTAGTAACTGGCAGTATGGATTTGAGTTCAAATCCTTGAATTCTATGTGGGTTCAGTGCTCCTTCCACCACAACCTTCCTGTTTCCTTGGTTCCAAAGGAAGGTGAGGAAAAATGTGTTCAATTGTGGAAAGTTCCATCAATAACAATGAGAAGATATAGTTCCAATAGGCTCTTCTAGTAGTTAATTTGAAAAATGAATTAATTTTTTTTTAAATTTTACATAGCAATATATTTGTATCCAGGCTTCTGGGCATTTAAATCCAATGTACCTGACCAGTCATCTCAGTCTTTCACTTCATTGACTCTAGATAAAGACCATATACCTATAAGTCATAGGATTTAGAGATCTTAGGACTAAGAGGGACTTAGGCAATCATAATCTCTTTTTATAAAGTTGAACAATAGAGACAGATCTATGTTTTTTATGCCTGTCTCCATTTCTCTTCCCAGCCAACCTCCATTCTGAGATGAAAACAAAAATAAAAATCTTTCCATCTTCAACTAAAGGAGACCTGAACTCAACAACTCCTATCACCTATAGCTTGGAGTTTGAAGGAGGCCAGAGTCTGGGACAGGAGGTGAAAGGACAAGAACTTTAGTCCAAATGATGTACCTACCCAAATTATCTTCAAGGACATAAGGGATGATGTGAGGCCATCTATATTGATCACCAACAATGGAACTTCTGCCTCTCTGAAAAGGAAAGTAAACACAGGATGTGCTTATCCTGAGGTTAGGCAGCAACTTGGGGACAGATAGGTGGTTGTCTCAAGAAAGAAGGCAGTTTAGGGATCTCCCAAACAGTAAAAGAAACAGATCATTTGTGTGTATATGAACGTAGTTTCCCAGAAATTTTGTAAGAGGTCAGGAGGAGAATAATGCATCTGCAGCACTGATATTTGGTAGGACAGTTGGGAAAAAAGCATGTAAAGGTTATATCAATCAGCGATTATGGGAGAAATCCAGTCACCATTGGCAGAAAAGATTTAATGAAGGTTTTTACACCCACTTTATCTAAATAATTATCTGCAAGAAGAAAGTTATAGCAAAAGCTCATTAATTAGAGCTGCACTATTTCAGAACTCATGGTCATTCAGATATATGCTAGGTTAAAAGTCTACCACTGCACTATGAAAATGAAGTTTACTTTAAAAGATTGCTTAAAGGAGAGAGTTATGTTTAAAGTGAAGTAAATAAACTGTTTTTAAGCAATCTTTTTTAGCTATACCTGTTTTCACCAAACAATGTGCCAATTACTAATGACTGTCATTCAGGCCTGTTCATCATATGGTCTGGTAGCATCTCTATGAAGTAACATTTTATTAGCCTTGATTAGATTATTGTAGACCCTAAGCTCCTTGAGGATAGATTTTTTTTATTTTTTGTCTCTGCAGTTCCTAGTATGGTGCTTAGAACTTATTAAGGCATAATAAATGATTATTGATTGACAAAATAATTACTTGAAATTAATAAAACATACCCTTTCAAAGTATTTTTATATTTAGATTTCAAAATCAACTAATTTGAACTGACATTTCTTCAATTCGTCTGAATTAGTATGGTTTTATCATATAACTAAAACATTCCAGGTTGACAACCTGATGTAAACATAGGAAACTTAAATATAATTATAATGACCAAAAAGCTTGGTCCTGGAAAAGAATTGAGAAAATGCACCTCTCTCTCCCTTCCTTGCAGAGGTAGTGCACCATGGGTGCTACTAGACGATAACATTCATTGTCAGACTTAGTTAATATGTTGATCAGGTTTGCTGAATCCCCTCTCTTTTTTATTCTTTTTTTTTTGAATAATCATTCATCAATAAACATTTACTAAGTGCCTACTCTGTGCCAGGAACTGTACTAAGCATTGGGTATACAAAAAGAGGCAAAAAACAGTCCCTGTTCTCATGGAACATACAATCTAAGGAGAGAGGGAGAGAGACAGAGAGAGAGAGAGAGAGAGAGAGAGATGGAGACACAGAAAGAGACAGAGAGACAGCGACATATAAGCATAGAAGTGTAGAGCAAGCTATATACATGATAAATAGGAAATAGTTAAAAGAGGGAAAAGACTGGAATTAAGATGCATTCAGAAAGGCTTCCTGCAAGAGGTTAGCCAGGTCAGTAGTTAAAGTGGAAGAGGGAGAGTTTTCCAGATGTGCAGGATAGCCAAAGAAAATGCCTGGAGCCAAGAGATGGTGTCTTGCTCATGGAACAGTCAGGAGACCAGTATACTGGACTAAAGAGTATTTGCAGGGAGTAAGGTGTAAAAGGACTGGAAAAGTAGAAGGGGACAAGATTATGAAAGTCTTTCAATGCCAACCACAGCATTTTGTATCTGATCCTAGAGACAATAGGAAGCCATTGGAATTTATTGAGTAAGAGGGTGACATGATTAGATCTGAATTTTAGAAAGATCACTGTAGTGGCTGAATGGAGAATGAATTGGAATGTGAAGATGCTTGAAGAAGGAAGACTGATCCACAGGCTATTGCGATAATCCAAGCATGAAATGATAAGGGTCTACACTACAGGGATGACAGTGTCAGAGGAAAGAAAGGAATGTATTTGAGAGATGCTGCAAAGGTGAAATTGACAGGCCGTGGCAATAGCCTGTACATGGGTTGCTGGGGGGCAGGGTGAGAGAAGGTGAGGAATCCAGGAAGACTCCTAGGTTGTGAGCCTAAGAGACTGGAAGGATGTTATTGTCCTCTACAGAAATAGGGAAAGTAGGATGGGGAGAAATTTTAGGAAGAAAGATAATGGAGTTCCCTTTTGGACAGATTGAATTTCAGATGTCTTCTAGACAAGCTAAAGATATCTGAAAGGCAACTGGAGATGTGAGAAGGGAGGCCAGCAAAAAGAATGGAGTATGTTTGAGAATCATTAGCATAAGATTAGCAATTAAATTCTTGGGAGCTGATGAGATCACCAAGTGATGTATTTAGAGGGAGAAGAGAAGAGGGCCCAGGACAGAACTCTGAGGGACACCTATGGTTAAAGGGCATGTGCCAGAGGAGGATCCAGTAAAGGAGAGAGAGAAGGAACAGGCAGCCAGGTAAATGGAAAACCAGGGTGGTGTCTTGAAAATCTAGAGATAAAGGAGTATTAAGAAGAAGAGAGTGATCAACAACATCAAAGGCTTTAGACTCTGAATGAGGAGATGAGGCTTGAGAAAGGCCTTTAGGTTTGGTAATGAAGAGATCATTAGTAACATTGGAGAAAGTGAGCCATTTTAGTGGAATGATAATGTGGGAAGCCAGAAAGGGAGAAACTTACTTCAGGCAGCCTTTCAAAGGAGTTTAGCTACAAAGGCAGAAGATATATAGCATGTTAATTAGCATGGATGGAAAGATCAAATGAGGGTTTTTCCAGGATAAAGGAATCATGGACATGTTTGTAGGCAGTAGGAAATGAACCGGTAGAAAGAGAGAGATTGAAAATAAATTAAATAGTGGGAGGAGACAATCTGTCATAAGAGATAGGTTGGAATGGGGTCAATTGAACAAGTAGTGGACTTAGCCTTGATAAGGACTAAGACCACTATATCATGTAAAACAGAGGTGAAGAAAGAGAAAGCTGGACAAAGTAACCTGAGTGAGAGATGTGGAAGAGGAGAAAAAAAGGGAGTTCAAGGCAAATGTCCTCAATTTTTTTTTTATAAAATATGAGGCAAGATACTCAGCTGAGAGAGAAGTAGAAGGGGAGCCATGGGAAACTTGAAGAGGGCTGAAAAGGTTTGGAAGAACCACCGTGGAAAGTAAGATAGTGAATTGATAAGGGAGGTACAGTAGAAATGCCTAGCAGCAATAAGGACCCAGTTGGGGTTATATAACACATTTGTAGTGGACCCAGTTAAAATAGTTACTTGATTTTCTTTACCTTTGTTCAGCTACATGTGTGTAGGTATGAAGGTGATGAATGGTGGGAATGATCCAAGGCTGAGACATGGCTAGGTATAATCAGTGATACAATAACAGGCCTAGGGACTCAAGAGAAGAAGACAGTGTAGAATTGAATTGGTTCATCAAGGAGTCAAGAGGAGAAGAGGAGAGGGTGGCTAGGGCAGGAGAGATGGCATGGAAGAGAACTGAGGGGTCAAGAGATTGGAGGTCATGGTGTGCATGAAGAGTAGCGTAATATGAGAGAAGGCAGAGGGAGAGGTGAAAAGGCAATAGATTATGATTGGATAAAGAAATTTCAGAATTCTTGAATGTGAGGTTATTCATTTTGGGGTAATCAAGGGGATGAACATCTTTGTGTGTAGCTCAGATGAGGTGGGGGAGTAGTACATGGGAAGTGGGTAGTCAGAGGAAATGAATGGTTAGAGTATTTTAGGGAGAATCTATATGTATGTTAAAATTCTTCTAGTATGAGCAAAGAAAGGAGTTGAGCACTAGAGAAAAATTGTAAGCCAGGTATCAAACTCATTGTGGAAGGAAAAAAAGTGATCAGGTGACTTTAGACAACAGCTACCAGGCTTTTGATTGGGTGGCAGATGAGAATATCATGAACCTCAAAGGAAGAGAGAAGAAGTGGGGAGGAAGGAGTATTCCACCAACTCACTTCAACCAATGAGACAAGGAAAATTAATGAAGGTGCAGCCAGTTCTAGAAAGAGTGGCCAAGGAGGCTTCGTCATCAAGGGAAAGCTAGATTTCTGTAAGAGTTGGTAGATGGAAAGAGTAGAAGGATAGAATTCAGATGGACAGTTTGATGCCTCTGCACAGGCATTCCAGAGGACACTGTGGAAGGACTGTGAGGAGTTGGGATAAAACTGTGTGGAGTGAGGATAAAACTCTCTATGGGAGAGTTTTGAGGGGGGATGGAAAGGAGGACTCCAGTAGTAGGGGATTTGGAGTGAGGTTTAGATGATGCTCTAGAGTGGTCCAGAATTACTGAAATGTGAAGGATATTACCAGGTGTGAGAGTGTTCATCACTGAGTGAAGGATGCTACTTCTGTATCCCAAAAGAACAGGCCTGGCTGGAAATGGGAGGCCTGAAGTTGAAGGGAGGGTTGCTCTTCTTTGCAATGGAAGTTCTCCAAATCCCAGTTGGGAGATTGGGCCAACAGCAAGAGGTGGAAGATGGCTTCTGCTGGTACAGATAAAAGTAGTTGCTTTGGGGCTGATGGAAGGTCTAGCCATAAGCCACATTTCCTCTGGGAACATGCTGCACTGAGCAGGAGATAGAAGGCTTAGGGTGCTAGTGAATCTGCATTCTAAGATGTTTAGATGGAGAGGGAAAGAGGAAAATAATATATTTGGTAATGAAAGTAATATAAAAATACAAGTTAGCGATTAAAAAATTGAAAACCACCAAGTTTAGATCAATATAGCCTGACCACATATGGTTAATGATGATGGCCTGGGGACTAATTTACAGCAAATCACAGTAAGAGGAAGATTATGATATTAATATGAATCAAGTCATTTTTCAAGCACAATTTGTTTATGAGGTTTTGTAAAATGCATGAATAAATGATTCCCATTGATTCTGTACCACCTCAAATGGTTAGGGATAACGCGCCCTCCCACTGATAGATAAGCTTCAGAGAAGTAGTATCTTAGCTTGCTTTGGCCAATAGAAGCATTGATATCACTGCAGCATGCCAACTTACCCCACCAAGATCAATGTCTCCTTCAAAAAGGTTCAGTCCCAAAGCTAAATGGCAAAACAAGACCTGATATTATAAAATGGGTAAAACCCAATACCTGCACATGGAATTTACAAAAGAAAGGAATCCACTAACCATCATTGATGTCAAATATATCCTCATCCTTGCCACCATCTACATCTATTATTAAAAAGACAAATAAAAAGGCACAGGAGAACAAAGGTTAACCTTGACATGTATTTCAGAGGCAAGAAAATATTTCAGTCATTTTATCATGAAACTGTCACTTATCATACTATGATCACATTGTATATTCTGTTGTCCTATTTCCCTTGAGCATTGACTGACTTTAGGAATATATCAATACAGTTCATAACAAACAGTTCCCTCTGTGCAGGATGAAAACCAGACTGGGAAGAAGTACCATTGATACACAAAGGCTGCCCTGAATTGAAACCAAATTGGAAATGAATGTTGAAGACTGATGAAGTCACCATTGTTTCATCCATATGTGGCTACTTCAATACAAAATGAAGCTTTTAATAAATGGCACAAACCAAAGCTTCCAGGTTAAACCCAAATTCCCTTCTAAATTCTCACGGAACAGAAACCATGATTCCATGTGACTCCATATGAGTACAAGTGAATATTGGTGGAATGTTTTACTTGGTCCATCTAATCTGGCAGATCCTTTTGTTTAAGCTCAATTTTTTTTTCAGAACTCTCAGGTTGGATTTAAATAATAGCCTGTTCAACTCACATACCATTTAGATAATACAGGAAAATCTACTATCATGATACGTAAGGCTTTTCAAAGATTTCAAGGGGCAGTATGAACCCAGTGGGTGGAGGACTGGGCTTGGAATCAGGCAGACCTGGGTACAAATCTAACCTCAGACACTGTAAGTGCCTCAGAGTACTAAACTTAATGAAATTTGAGAACCTAAACTGAGTTTTCACTTGAATGATTATTTGCTCTTAAACAAACAAAACAAGAAACCCATGGGACACATTAAAGCACCATTCCTGAAACCTTGACTTGATCCAGTCATTCAGGAAAGTAATTTGGAATTCTATGAAGAAAGTCATGAAAATGTCCATACCCTTTTACTCAAAGATCCTGATGCTAGGCATATGACCCAAGGAGATCACTGAAAAAACTGTGACTCTGGACAAGTCTCTTGACCTCTTTGAACTTCAGTTTCCTCATCTTCAATATAGGGATAATAATAGTATGTATCTAATAGGTAGATATAATAGTAACATCTATCTAATAGTTACTTGTTAGGTAGGTATTATTATTATTAAAGGAGATCATATCTATAAAGTGTTTAGCACAACACCGGGCACACAGTAGGCACTATATAAATTCTTATTGCCTCCCTCTTCCTTCTACTTTGCAAGGTTGTTGTGAGGATCAAATAAGATTTCATGTGCAGTGCTACACAAACTCTGAAATACATAAATGCAATGTGTTGTTTTTATTAGTATTATTATTATTATCATTGTTGTTGTTGTTGTTATCACCACTCAGCCATTGTTTTGGTCCCAGACCCTACCCATTCAATCGTGATCATATGGTTCCAGTTATTATAGTTACTGACAAAGTCTTGGTACATAAAATATAGGATCATTCTCCTTGTGGATATAGTACTTAAATATATAGGAGGAATGATGATGGTTGTGATGCAAGGATTATTTTCTTAGTCATCTAATAGAAATGAGACTAGAACTCCCTCAACTCAGCTTATACTCTAGGGTTTAATCATGGTCTGAATGTGACCCTGGGTTCTCAAAGGCTCTGTTTGCAGGCTCAGCAGTCTATGGTCCAGGGACCAGCCTAGCTAAGATTTGAGAAGCTTCTCAACATGGGGTTAACCACCAGGTGATGAATTGTGAGCACCATAGCCACTGATGAAGACATACAACTTAGATGTAGAGGTGTTATATATAATATGGACCAGTGGAATAATAATAATAATAGCTCACATTTATATAGAGCATTAAGTATTTCAAATGAATTATATATTTGATCTCATTTGAGCTCACTACAACCCTGTGAGGTAGGTGCTATTAAGCCCATTTTATAGAGAAGAACACTAATTTGGAAAAGGTCTTGCCCAGAGTCACACAGGTAGGAAGTATCTGAAACAGGATTCAGGTCTTCTTAAGAAAACTCTGGACTTCTTGCCTCCAAATCCAACACTCTACCAACTGCACCATGCATTTCCCTACCCATAGATGAAATCATCAATCATTGGAAGTGCTGAAAAGAATAGAAGTCAATAAATGACTCACCAAAGTTTTCTGGGTTTGGCTAAGGAACAAAAAAGAGAAGAAAACATATTATCATGATAGATAAGATTTATCAGTGCTTCTCTTGATCTTACTGTCCTATATAGCAATAAAGGCATTTATTTACTACCTCACTAATACTGATTCTTTGCCCTCAGGATACTAACTTTCATGAAACTTGAGAATCTAAACTGAAATTTTACTTGAATGATTGTCATTAAAGAAACAATCAAACAAAAACCCCACAGGGCACATTAATGCGCCATTGGTGAAGCTCTAATTTGAGGGAGTCATTCAGGAAAGTAATTTGGAATAATGTGAAGAAAGTCATGGAAATGTCCATACTCTTTGAACTCACTACTAGGCATTTAACCCAAGGAGATGAATGAAAAAGAGAAAGGCCCCCACATACTTACATATCTATGTATATACATACATCAAGATATTTATAACAATACTTTTTGTAATACCAAAAAATAAAAAACAATCTCAATGACCATAGTGTGGTTAGCTAAATTGCAATATAGGAACATAATGAAATATTACAATGGTCTAAGAAACTATGAACATAGCAACTCCAGAGATAATAGGAAGATTTCAATGAACCGAGATAAAATGAAGTAAGCAAAACCAAGAAAACAATGTACATAATGGCTATAACAATGTAATTATAAAGATCAACAAAAGCATTTGAAACTGAGTGCTGTGAAATCATCATGACCAACCTTGGCCTCAAAGAAATGATATGAGAAGAAAATCTCCCTCTTTTTTGTAGAGGTAGGGGATAATCAGTGTGGAATATTCCATATAATAACAAGCTTTTTGTTGAAATAGCAAATAGCAAATTCCTTATGCCTCAGTCTATTTCTTTGGCTCATGTAAACAAGATAGGAGATACAGAATCATTGTCAATTTTTCCTGTTTTCAGCAAAAGAAATGAGTTGGTGTTTTTAAGTTAATGCTACAAAATGGTTACCCACAGCACACAATATACAACAAAATGTTGTCTCAGGCATTGAGAATATGTCTATGAAGAAATAAAAGCCACACAAATAAACATGCAATACAATTTTAGTAGTGGCATGTAAGACATACTTTACTTTAGATATAACAAATGCTTTAAAAGAAAAGATCATTTCCTCTGCATTTGGCTGTGCTTTTAAATTTAGAACTTCAGGTTTCTCTCAAAGCTTTTGAAATATGATTAAGTGCTTTGATTTTGTCTATTCTTATTCAGCTGGTACAGGGTACCTCTACCTGCACAAAGTTGGGCAAAAGCTAATGAGAGATCAGAAAAGAATTTTTACTTTGCTGGGCCCTTCACAATCCACAGCCAAACCACTTACATTGAGATTTCTATTCAAGTAATTCATTTTTAAAAATCTATACATCAGCCAATACCAAAAATTGAAATAAAACTAATTTTCTTTTTTTCCATATTACCAAAAGCTATTTTTAAAACAGTGAAACAAAAACAAAAACAACCAACTACTCCATAGTCTCTTTGTCCCCTATTCCTCTCACTTGCATCCCCTTCCTGTTTCCCAGTCCCCTACCATCAGCCAATCTATCCTAAACAGTGTATTTTCCCTGCTTGTCCGGAAAAAGCATTCCTTTCATTAACCCTGCCTTATTGATATAAAACAAAAAAAAAAACCAGTGGCTAAATCAGTTTTAATGGTACCACTACCTTGGAGGTAATACTGTCCTTGATATCACCTGCTACCCTCCAGTAGGCTTATTTGTTTTGCTTTATTTTCCATATATCTTGTAGTATATGCCTTTTAATTCCTTACCATGCCAGAGATCACAAGGAAAGTCTTGCAGAGCAGAAGTCAAGGCAAACACCATGAATCCATGTTGCATCCGGAGCTAAGAGCTGTAAACTGCAAAATTTTGAATGGGTTTTACTTAGAAGCAAACATCAAAAATTAGAGCCTTTGATCTGTGTGAGGCATCTTGTAGACTAGTGTTTTCCTAGAGTAATTCTCCAAAGCAAAAGAGTAAAGACCATCAAACTGAGCACCTTTCTGAAGACGAGCAGTTAATCCCATTTGTTTTCAATAGGCAAGTGCCTGGGAGGAGCTAACCTTGGAGGTCAAATACCTGATTTTTATTTCCTGGTAAATCACATATGGTAAGAAAGTCAGCATCAATTTTAAACCATACATCTCTTCTTCCATTTAACTAGTCATTATAAATTGTTAATTGGTACAGTGTTCAACAAATACTTATTGACTGACTGATTGATAATCCGCTGGATAAAGTTACGGAGGAAGAGAACCCACTTGGGTCTTTAATTGAATCTTTCCATGGAGGCTATCCAGGTCCACTGGGGATAAATTGGTTGCCTTGGGGTATTATGGGGTACAGCCATTCCTTTGTACTGGGTTAATAAAAAGCAGGGTTGGGTGTATGGGGTGTTAAGGGAGGACTAGCATTTCCACTGTGATTGTTGTTTTTTTAAAATACATGAGAAGCTTCTTTATTTCACCATAATGGGCTTTATATTCTGATTGCTTGCACACTGTGCAAAATATTCACTTAGCTAAATAAATAAGACAATAAAACATTATTGCAAACAGCATTTGTACTCCTGAGGTAAGATCTCCTGGCCCAGGTAGGGGTGCTCCTGAGATCCTAAGTGCCCCATGGGACAATGCATGCCTTTTGGGGCTGAGATAGGCAAGAGGCATAGGGACAACACAATTGGGGGAGGGGGAGGGTCCCAATACCAAGGGAAACAGACCTCAAGCTCATGGGTTAGGGATAGAAGCAAGGATGTGGAGCTGGTGAGAAGGATGAAATAACCTTCATGTAGCCAAAGCTAGGGAGAGGAGCAGAGGTGGATGCTGAAGTGAGGAAGGTTGAAAGGGGCAGGTAAGCCAAGGCACTGTGAGAACAGCTTTATGAGACCAGAGCCTCTGGCAACAGGCTAAGCAATAGACAACCTTATTTTTTAGTTTCTAGAACTTGGCAATCACAGACCTGGCTCAACCAACAGGGGACCAGGCCCTGAAAGATCTAATACACTAAGCCCACTGGGTAGAGAGTTAGCAACTGCCTCCTACTCTGGTAAATAAATAAGTTAAATGTTTAAAGACCTGTGTACAGTGCTGGTGTTAAATACAGAAATCCAATACCTGCCAAGTGGAATGGGAAAGAGTTTCCAGGTATTGATCCAATGAAGGATGGCAGGGAATGGTGGAGAAAGCAGCAGAAAGGACAGTGATAGGGTCTAAGCAAAAACCTCACAAAAAAAAATTTTGTTTCACATTTTACAACCCTGGGGTTGAGGGTCGGGAGAGTTTCAGGCTAAAACTTTTTTGAGTAGTGGAAGCCTTGGAGAAACCCCCCAAGTGCAAAGAAGAAAAGCATTAGATAGCTTTGTGGGGAGGGGTTGGAGTGGGAAGAGGAGAGGCCTCTTTGGTTTATTCACCCCACAAATAATCCCTTTTTCTCATTTCTCCTGACTCTGGACTTTAGCTCTTATCCCTAAGGTCCTGCTGACTCATGTGTTTCCTATAGAGTTAACTTGAAGCCCCTACTAAGTACCTTTTCCCACTGCATACACAGGCCCTCCAACCAGAAGCCAGAATTTAAGGCTTATTGGGTCAGCCAGGAAACCAGCCACAGCTACCCCAGGACTCCCCAGCTCCTCTACTTCAATCCCCCCTAAGGTTTGCAAAGGAATGAAGATTGGGGGAAGTACAGGAGTCCCAAAGGCCGCAGGCCCTACTCATCAGTCATCTCTTCAGCTAAGTGCTTCACAATCACTGGAGGACAGCACACCCCACTTTGGCAGGGACAGAAATGGGATTTTGAGGTCCACAGACTCCAAGTGGGGAGGGGTGGGAGGAACCCTAGGGGGACTGAGCCGTGATTCTCAGCAGGTCCCAACCCAAGTCTTGGATGAGGTGGGAGTGGGGAGAACAGATGCAAAAATGGAGGGAAGGAGAAAGATACAAAAGAAGGGGGGAGGGGCAGGTTCTTGCTCTGATCCTTCTCCCAGGAGTCAGGAGATACCTAGATAGAACATTTAGCCAAGCCACTTTTGTCAAATACCCCCCCCAGGGGCAAAATAGATGGCTATCACCCCAAGGCCTGCTGCTAACACCATGTAGCTGTGACTGAGTGGCTCAGCCGGACAATGGAGCCAATGAATAAAGATGGTGCCACCCGGGAGAGGAGGAAGGCACTATCTAGGATGGCTAAGTTCAGGCAGATGCCCTGGCCTGGGCCCCAAGTCTCAGCTCCCCAACTACCACCTCACTGATACATCACAAGGGGAGGCCCCATAGAGTGGGGGTGAGGAAGGAAAGAGGCGCATACTGGAAGCCCCCCATTAGGAAAGGGTCCCCCAGCTTTGGGGCCTGCCAAGAAGCTGGGTGGTCAGGCTGTCACCCCTGCTATTGCTGCCAGTGTTCCCTCTATATTTGGGCAGCAATACCTGCTTCTCATAGTGGTAGAGTGAGGCCAGGGTATGAGGCAGCATCTGCAGGGCTCAGAATGTGAAGCCTGTGAGGGCTGCTGAAACAGTCACCACAGCCAGGTTCTGGGATAGACATGTCATACCAGCAGCCACTGGAAAGGCGAACACATGAGCCAGATACACTGCCCGGGTCCCAAAGCAATGCACAAGTGGGTCCATACCCAGCGAGAAGAGCAAGGAGACCATACACTGCAGGAAAAGCCCAAGGCTCCCCATATGCACAATTTCATCATCTGGGCATTGGTGCCAGGTTCAGCCCTAGGCATACCCTGATACAGCCCTTCACCTACAAAGTCAGTGTAGAAGAGAGTGAAAGTCACGAGTGCCATCCAGGCACAGAGCTCAGCCATGAAGGGCTGACATAGAGCTGGTGCACTTAGCAGCACACCCTGTGGAGATGTGGCATCAGGGCAGCTGGGTTTCAGAATGCAAGGTGGGCAAGCATGGACATCAATGAGAAGGAGCAGTGAGTACTGGGAGCCCTTCAGGGGGGTCAAATGAGCCCAGGGCTGCCTCCTCAGCCACCAGCAGTGTGGCTGCCATGGATGTGAGGAAGATGAAGGTATGCAGGCCAAAAAGACACTCCTCCTGGGTGCCTAGATAAGGTGCCAAGACATTGGCATCCCAGTCAGTAGCTGGCAGCAGGTACAGCAGCCTCCCAGGCTGATCATGAAGACATACATAGAGAAAGCCTGATGGCAATGGTTTGGGTCCCAGAAAAGGTCAGAGAGCATGGCCTCTAGTGGGGTAAAGCACAGCTGGCCACACCCAGGATCAGCAGCGCCAGCTCCAAGGGCCAAGCATCTGGGTACACCAGCCCAGTCAGGCGAATTATTTGAGGAATGAGAAAAAGACTCAATAGCACACCCAAGAACAGGGCTAGATGAAAGGTCAGCATCATCCATAGTACCCACACCAGTAGCCACTGGCTGAACCCAGGAGTGGGACAGATACCAGGCCCAAGACAGGGTCAATGAATGACCAGGACCATTGTCATAAACTTCTCTTGCACTCCAACTTCCAGTAGCAAAGGTGGCACATAAGTGATGCCTGTAGCCAGACTTCTAGGTCAAAGTTCAGCAGATTGACCAGCAGGAATTGGGTTAAACCATCTCAACAGACTGGTTAAACCAGGTTGAGGATAACTGACCAACCTCAAACCCAATTCATTACAGATACATGTACACAGCCTGCATAGGGATAATCAATCAAAATCCAAAACAAAGTGCACCTCCTTGTGATCGCATCAGGTTTAACTGAAAACTCCCAGTTCAACTCCTTCTATTAGCACCTACTATGTGCATAATACCATTCAGCTTTGATATTTCCAATTATGCTTATTGCATACTCACTGAGTTATAAAATTCAGTAATTCCCAATGAGTCTCTAATGCTTGAAAATATGGGGTAGAAAATAATAGCAGATTTAATTTCTGAACAATTCCCATTGCACTATTACAGACACAAAGGCATTAATCCAGGGCAACTGGTGAATTTTCTAAATACCTAATCATTTCTTGTCTTTATTCTTTACCTCATCTATTTCCTCTTTGCCTATTACTATCCATGCTTTAACTCAGGGATTCTACCCACTCTGGTAATCTCCAAAAGCCTATGGATATCAGGATAATGTTTTCCAATGCAGAAAATAAAATGCATGAGATTCCAGAGGAAATCAATTCTCTTAAAATATAATTATCCTTTTTATAAAAAAAAAAAACAAGTTAATAGATTCCCACAGGTTAACGATACCTACTTTAACTCATCTACCATAACTTCCCTCTTTCTTTTCCTGGTTTTTCCCTCTGATCTGAGGAAATCTAATTATATTTTTGACCTGGAAAAATGGTAACAGGAATAAAGGAGGGTGGAAAAAAGACATCCCTAGAATGCCAGGAATCACTTTTTAAAAATGACAAACAAATATGAACTTTGACACTTTTTTACCTTCGATACAATGAACCCTGGAGATGGTATAGGCCAAAAATCTATTCTTTATAAAATTCAAAAGTAAAAATGTTGGTGAAAGACCAATGTGGTGGCCAAAAGGAGGCTAATGAAAGAGCCAGATGAGAGAGGATTCTGGGAAGATGGCAGAGTAGGTCAGAAAATTCCAACTCTCCCGATCCCCTCCACAAACAAGACAAAATAGGACATCAGGGTGAATATAGAGTGCTAAAAATAAACAGGAGTTGGTGTAGAACAGTGGTCTTCCTGAGATAACCAAAGATTGGAAGAAAGATCCCAGGACAAAAGTTTGACTGAGTGAAGTGTAAACATCTCCAGGCTAGCTCTACTGAGGGCAACTGGGTTGGGCGGTAGCCTAGACCTCAGCCACAGGGATTTTCACCTCCTGGACAGTGTGGGGAGACAGG